CGATTGGGCAAGTTGCCTTGCTACAAAAAGCTGGGCATGTTTATGTTTTCATTGGCGGATACATTTTTTTATAGTGCATGTACTTGATTCGAATTTTTTTTGTGGGCTAAAGCTAGATCTGAGGCAGTACATAACATACAGTAGCCATATAGATCAGTGGAAGAGCAGTTCGACATGTTGTCCCCTTAATTTATACCCGAGTGGCCATTGTCTGATGGCAAGTGAATTTTATTCCGGACAACTAATTTTCATGACCAACTTGGCTTGAGGGCAAGTGGTCAAAAAAGTAAAGTTACACCACTGATTTCAATTTTTCATTGTACGGAATATCTAGCGTAATGGAAGTTTAGAAAGGTATTAACATTAAAATACTATATATGAAGAGGAAACTCTTTGAGAAAGATTTCTATTTCACACAATTCGACGAAACAATGTTTTGTCAATAGAGATTTTGGGTCTGTTCTAGTGAACCGGCACTTGTCGAGCCATTCCACTTACTTATGATTTCCTTTCTTAGTAATTTCACACAATTTTTTTCGTTAATAAGATGGCGTCTGCTTCTCAAGTTGTTGAGATGCCTGCAGCGTTTGCCGAAACCATAGCCAAGCAAAATGAAAATTTCACAGATTGACAAACCAGCTTTCTTGCCAGAACAAAGTCGTTTTATTTGACGACTTTTTGTTGTTGTGCGCTGGTTTTATGAAATCAAATACTTGTTAAAAAATTCGCTTTTTAGCCAAAGCAAGAAAAAAAGCAATTTGTTAAAACCTAAATGAAGCATATATGTGTTTGCAAGTGCTGATGAGAGTAATTACTGTTTAATATATTCGAATTTAATCCGGCTGGTGGGAATACAGGCTCATATCACTGGTTCATATGAATAGACTCTATGCAGTGTAAAACTTGTATTCTGTATAGATATTGTGTAAACCTGCCTTAAATGTAAGTAATAAAATTTATTGTCGAAAATCAAGTAAGTTGGCATTAAAAAGACGATCGAACTACAGTATTGTGTCAGTCTTGTGTCAAAAAACTTACAAATATTCCAAATAATCCCTATAAACGCTAACTCGTTCAGGACTGTTTAATTTTTTATCGAGAAAAAACTGACGAGAAAACCGTTGCGACTTAGATGGCGTCGTTTTTATTGAAAATGTCAATCGTACTTCCTTGAATGATCTTATCGGAGAAAAAAACATATAATTTATTGAAATTAGTTTCCTTTTTGACTATATCAGTAGAGACAAGTACAAAATGCATGATTTGCATGCACCCAGTCACGCCATATTTTGAATCATTAGCAAGGAGGCAGATAAGATAGAAAAATATGACGCGACTATTGATACGCAAATGATGAATGATGTACTCGTAAATGTATTTATGTATTGTACTAAAATCTACAGATTTCTACTTACTATATAGATGCATTGTAAATAAAGAATAGTCTTAGGGAGTCAGGGTTACTCTAGACGTGCGGATATAATTGGGAGGTATTCATATATTCCTGTTCTACTCGACCGATTTCTTTGAAAGCGATTGTTTTACGATATGCGAACATGAATACACGTACATGAATATACCCCCCCCCCCCGATTATCGCGTCTAGTTACGGCCCTGATGAGTAAAAGCATACACTGCTAGTTTTATTGAAGGATTGTAACCTATTGTGGTAAGAAGACAATTTTTGATTGCATGTATTAAGTGCGAGACATATACTTATAAGTGCTATATCAATTTGATCACATTCCATTTGGCGGCTTCTGTTTATGTATGTCCATAAACTGAACAAGAAAATATTTAGATTTCTTTCAATACTGATTGCTAATATATTTAGTAAGATGCTGACTCATGCTTGTGAAATAATGAAATTTCAAACTATGTTTACTTAGTGTACAAGCATATAAATGAATAATAACATGTAGCAGATTTCCAGAATCTTCTAAAAGACACAAAAAAAACCCAGCTGTAATTATTTTAGAATTGATAGTTAAATTTGTAATCCCAGTTGAAAACACGAATCTTTAATTTAGCAACGTGAACGTATTATGTGATCATTTGCATTAATTATTATATATCAATCTGCTGTAGAGCTATAATTAATTTTTAAATGTTTAAAAACAACAATGAAAGAACTATAGACAATTTTTATAATGATAGAAACATGTATGCAAATTGTAATACTAGAGTTGTGCAACGTTAGCAACGTGCCATTTTAATAATTTACGTGAATAAATATATTTCATTAAAATCTGTTTTACCATTCATTTCCTGCAACGGGTGAGTAAAATTTGAATATTATAAAGGCTGCATGGCTATCAGAGCCGTAGCTAGACCGATAATTTTTTGTGTGTTGGGGGTATATATTCATATATTCGTGTTCTGCGGCGTCAGTTTCTTTTGAAGCGATTGTTTTACGGTATGTGAACGCATGAATATGTAATATACCCCAATTATCGTGTCTAACTACGGCCCTGCTGGCTATGATATTTCTTCTAAACAAAATTTAGAATGTCTCGTTAAGAACAGGAACGCGAAAAGCTGGAATCTTAAAAAAACAAGAAAGCCAAAAGCCGGAATCTTTAAAAACAGGAGCGCGAAAAGACGGAATCTTTAAAAACAGGAACGCAAAAAGCCGGTGTTCTCACCAACTTGAGAACGTAGTCTGATTTGCCGGTTCTTGCCTACTTTAACTCAAAATCTCTATTTTTATGACAAATTTATCGAATTTTTAACCGCCAACTCGGTTAGAATATAAAAGTATAAAAGTATTTTTTCCAACGTGGTTCGGGCCCGCGATAAATGGCGGGAAACTATAAGTACTTCATCCATAGTCATCTGTTCGTAACATCCCCTCCCGAATGTGTAACATTCGAGATAGTCTAACATTCTTAAAACTTTAACAAAAAACTAGGAATAACTAACTCCGCTAATATGTAATTATATTGTCAGTTTATTTTCACAACTGTCCGTTTCCTTCGCAGGTAATTCTGTACAATCTCCTACATATCCTCGGGTTTATTGCTAAATGTACTCAAGATCGGGGCACAATCTATGAACCGGTCGCAAATACTCCTTTCCTTTAGCTTTAACTCTGACCACTCACACCAAGCCGTCGTTCCCAGGAAAAGTCTCAGTAATACGTCCCAACGGCCAGTCCCGGCGATTTGCATTTGGCTCAATCATTAAAACAATATCTCCTTCTTTCATATTACGTCCGGCGATTTGCATTTGGCTTAATCATTAAAACAATATCTCCTTCCTTCATATTACGTGTGGGATGAAACCACTTCTTTCTACGATTTAATGTCGGTAGCAATTCCCTTCTCCAACGTTTCCAAACTTGACCGATTAGTTGTTGAACACGATGCCATATTTTGCGGGGGTTGAACGTTTCTTCCTCAGTTGCTTCCACTGCAAATGTTCCTCCAACCAGTCCGTGGATGAAATGATTGGGAGTGAGAGGACATAAGTCGTTGGAATCCGAACTTACGTACGTGATAGGCCTCGAGTTCAATAACTTCTCCGCTCCACAAATGGCTGTATGTAGCTCTTCATCGAAGACATCCGTATTTCCTAAGATGCCCTTCATAGCTTTCTTGGCACATTTTATCATGGCTTCAAAGACTCCCCCGAAATGTGGCCTAGCTGGATGGAGGGTTGAAATGCCATTCAGTGTGAGAGAATCGCGAACTGTCCCGCACTTCTCTTGGTCTAATTGTTCAACAAGTTCGATTCTCTCAGTTCCCGTTCTCCTGAAACGAAGTTGGTACCGTTATCTGATAATATCTGACACCATCCGTGCGAATGCATTCATAAACGAATCTGTGTCTAACGCATAGATCATTTCCAAATGTATCGCGCGTGTCACGAGGCAAGTAAATATCTTTTTGCTCTACTTTTGCCGCGACCTTGTTTTGTCAGGTATGGGCCTCCGTAGTCCACTCCTACTCGACAGAAGGCTTTCATCGATGAAATTACTCTTGGTCTCGGCAGCGGTGCCATCATTTGACCAACAGGTTTAGCCGTAAAGCGTTTCTTACACACTTGACAATGATTAAGGATTTCACGTACTACAGCCCGTTCTTTTATCAACCAAAACCTACCCCATAATGTGGAAAGTGTGTGTTCTACTCAAGAACCATGTCCGAGTTGTTCATGAACAGCTCTTACGATAAGTTCCGTCACAGGGTGTTCTTTGGGTAAAGTCACTGGATGTTTACTTTCGCACGGTATGTCTGCATGACCTAAGCGTCCGTCTATGCGAAGAAGTCCGTCCTCGTCTTTCATGGGATTCAAGTTCCCCAGGCTTTTACGTCCTTTAGTGTCTCGGAACCTTTCTGTCTGCGCACGTTTGAACCAATAAAATTCTGCTTTCTTTACTTCTTCAATCGATAAACTTTTGCTTAGATCTCTTTGCAGTTGCTTGTAAAACGCCGTACCCATGCTGTTACGCGAACAAGTCGTCTGAAATCTGAAGAGTTTTGTGGATTCAATTCGTTACTGTCCAATACTTGGGTGACATTTGTTCGTACCATTTTTACACTCTTCTTTCGTGTCACTTGATAATGTATCCATTCCAGGTACGCGTGCAGGCCAATTTGTCTCATTTTCTAAAACGAACTGTGGTCCTTCTTTCCATACTCTGCTCTGTGCTAGCTCAGAAACCTTAATTCCTCGAGTTGCCAAATCAGCGGGGTTGAGTTCTCCCAGGACATGTCTCCACTGTTCTGGGTTTGTAGAATTTTGGATTTCCCCGATTCTGTTGGCGATGAAGGTTTTGAAATTGCGACTCTGGTTTTTCACCCAATATAGAACGTTCGTAGAATCTGCCCAGTAAATCACTTTGGATACTACAATTGACTTGAGTATGGTATTCGCCAAACGTGTTGAAATAACCGCTCCCATCAACTCGAGTCTAGGAATAGTCGTCGATTTAACTGTTGCAACTCGACTTGTAGATGCAATCAAAACTGATGTTGGTGTGTTTCCTTCATAACGACAAACTAGATAAGCACAAGCTGCATAGGCATCCTTTGAAGCATCAGAGAACATATGTAATTCTATATCATCAGGGGGAGGGATGTGGCTGGCATCGTGGAATGTCAAAGAAGGAAAGGTGTTGTAACTCGTTCACCCAGTTGTGCCAACGGTCTAAAAGGGTCCTCGGTAGTGGATCGTCCCAATCTAGCCCAGCAGTCCGTATCTCCTGCACAAGGATTTTGGCTCTTACTGTAAAAGGTGAAAGAAATTGAAGAGGATCAAACATAGTTCAAATTGCGCTTAATACTTCTCTCTTCGTGGTTATCTCTTTGATCTCTGGTATTTCGACGTTGAAGGTGAATACGTCGTTTTCGGATTTCCATGTCACTCCGAGGGTCTTCACTTTTTCCGTTGGGTGTCCATCTTCGCGTATCTCTAAGCCGGGTTGTCGATCTTCTTCTGGCACATCTTCTAGTACTGATTTGTCATTCGATGACCACTTTCGAAGTCGGAAACTCGCCGAATTCAACAACTCTGAAAGTTGTCTCCTTAATTCTATGGCATCTTTGGAAGTCTCGCATGAATCAAGAACGTCGTCTACGTACATGGAGTTGCTAACCGTGTCTGCCGCTTCGGGATAGAGTTCTGCTTTATCCTCCACATGTTTCTGGACGATGAATCGTGCACAAAATGGTGACGCTGTGTTTCCAAACACTAGGCGTTGGAATTCGTACACATCAGGTTCTCTCGGGATGCGTCTAAATTACGCCAAAGAAATCGATGATAAGCGCGATCATCTTTCAACAAGCCTACTTGTAAGAACATCTCTAAGATATCTCCTGATAAGGCGATTGGGAAGCGTCTGAATCGTATCAGAACGTTCAATAAGTCCTTTTGAAGCTTGGGACCAGCTTGAATTGCGATCTTTTGCTGCAGCATCAAATACGATTCGCGTCTTTGTAGTTGTTCTTTCTTCCTTGATTACAGCAAAATGTGGTAAAAACCATTGGTTTATTTAATTGGTCTTTTCTATTTTCGTCACATAACCCTTCTCGTAATCTTCAATTATTTTGTTATATGTGTGCGTTGCTTCGGAGCATTTTCTTTTGAGCGATTTCTCCTGACTCGTAAGTCTTATTAACGCCATATCACAGTATTGTTCAAGTTTGGTTTTTCTTTCTTCCAAGGGATTCCCACAGAATATCTTCCCTTGTCATAAATAGTACTCTCTGTTACCTTGACTACTGCTTCTTTCTCGTCAAAGGTTCTGTCGTCAGTGTCTTTGATTGCAAGAGCTTCAAGCTCCCAGAATTGTCGGAGCTGGTGGTCTTGTTACTGAACGGTCGGCTGTTCAACCTGGCTTGAACGGTAAGTACGTGAAAATATGAACGCGATTTACGCCGATGTTCCTCAACGATGGTAGGCCCAAAGCAAACCCACCCTAAATTCGTAAGTCTTGCTATTGGGTCTGTGGTTTTACTACCGTGCACTTCCTTCAGAACATGATAAAACAATGGGTGATCGCTACCTATCAACACATCTATCTGCTTTCGTGTTGAAGTTTGCTCAAAGGAAATGAAAGCCAAATGGGGCCACTTTGCTTTCAAGTCTGCCCAATTAAAGGCGGGTGTGTCTCCAGTTATATTGTCCAGGACATTAGCAGATAAGTTCTCTGAAAAGTTTCTGTTTAAGCTTGTGACAACCAAGTTTACTTGTTTAGACTGTTTTTTGAATTGGGATCCACCAGTACCCGAGACTGTCAGGTCATGCATTTCTCCGTTCAATTGCAATTCTTCACCACCACCAGCTTCAGTCACATACGAACCGGTGGAACAAGGGTCTATCATCACGTTAACCTTCAGTTCTTTCTTATCATTCTTAATATCAGCTGGTAATACCATTAGCGATATGTGGTCAGTGCGGTGAGTGACATAAGATCTAGTATCAGCCGTAATTTTACCAGCTCCTGATTGTTGTGCACTGTCCTTATCATCAGGTAATCTGCTCCTGGTTTGCTAACTGGAATCTTTCATCACCTGTTGTGGGGTAACCGAATGAGAACCAGGTTGACAATTCAGGTCTAGGCTACGTGAGGTATGAAGTAATCTATTGTGCTGGGTACTATCACAGTCATCAACCCCACACCGTCTTGCTCGAGTACATTCAATTGCTTTGTGTCCAACACCCAAGCATCGGTAACACCATCTCGATTTCTCTATCAATGCTTTTCGATTTGATACTGATA